TGTTAGGCTTGTGTTATGCGTAACAAGTTTTTTGATGAACAAGCTCTTAGGCTTGCTTCTGTTATGTTTTTGACAGCCTTGAAAGGTTTGCTTTGGCAGGCTTGAAAGGTTTGCTTTGACAGGCTTGAAGCAGGTTTTGATACTGAGTTTGTTTGAAGGCAGTTTGTAAGCTTTGTGTAATTTTTGCTATGTGTTTTAGGCAGGATGGAACAGGTTGGGGGCAAACTTAAGTAGGCTTGAAGCTTGTATTTGTTTCTGTAACAGGTTTGAGGTTTTTTCAATGTTACAGTTTTGTGGTTTTTTGTTTCTATGTGTATTCTGCCCTCTTCTTTGACAATTCTGATACTCTTTGTTTTATATCTTTATCTTAAGCCTGCAAAACTGTAAGCCTCCCTACTTCTCTCTCTCTTTCTCTCTCCACAGAAAAAAGCATTTTATATTGCTTAGAGTCCCTTTTTTCTGAAAAACTGATGGCCTGGAAAATGATGAAAGTTTGCTTGCATTTTGTATTTTCTCTGCATATTGTACTTTCTTCTTTTCTTTGATGACAGCTTGATATCTTTTGATATCTTTTGATATCTTCTTGACAGTTTGGTAGCTTCTTTGGACAGTTTATTTGGACGGTTTGGTTTTCCTTTTCAAGTAGCTAGTTTGTTCAATTTGAACTTTGCAACTTGTTTGTTTCAGTTTGAACTTTGCAACTTGTTTTGGCATATTCAGTAGCTTGTCCCTTTTCATGTAGCTTTGTGCATTTTGTTTAATATGTTGCTTTGTATTAATTCATACGCTTGCAAACATATTTTCTTTTCCTCTTTGTGAACCAAGAGTCTTCTTGTGATTTGCAGAGAGGGCGAACAAACTGATTCCGGCCAACACTTTTAATGACGAGTTTTAATTATCTGTCTGCCTTTTTAATTCATCTGTGTTTGACTTCTTTCTTTTTTGTCTTTGCAGATAAATATCAGTTGAGCAAAAGATGCAATTAGTAGAAGATGAAGATTTCTAGAGATTTAGGATATAGTTTTAATTTACTTTTAATCATTGTAATAATATTATTGTAAACAATTGTAAATAAATTTACAGTGTCCAAATAATATCTGTAACAAACAATTAAAAATGAATAAAAATCTTTCTTTGTCAGATATCTCTTTAATTCTTCTGCATTTATTTATTTAATTAGTTAAATTTCTTGAATTATAATAATTGGAAATTATCCAATAATTTTAACTTAGAAATTATAAATAATCAATAAACGTCTGGCGTTCCGAATAACCAGAAACATTGCACAGTTAAACAAACAAACGTCCATATGTCCTTTATCTCACTGATCAAACTTAAACTTCAAACTTTCAATCAGAAGCCTCAATCCATGTCCCAGAGTCAGTTGAAAAGAACTGTAGAATTAATTCCTTCTGAGAATGCGCGCGCAAACCCTAATTCTTGATTTATTGTCAAAGAAGCGTCTGCTTGATCAAATCCTGAGCCAAACTCAACCAAACCCTAGTAATCTGCTTGAACTGATTCAAAAGTTAATGGAAACCCTAATTTTGTTTGACTGGTAAGAAAAGCCTGTTTGACCGATTCTTGAGCCAATCTGAAAAATCAGGAAAAGCCTGAAGCTGTGATTTCTTGTAAAAAAGAGGAGGGCAAATTTTGGGGTACAACACCTGCCATATCCAGACCGCTCCCACCCACTGCCCAAATTCTCCCACCAGTCCGTCTTTACGGTCACAATCAATAAACAATTATGGATAATGTTCAGCTAGACACACTGCCCCCATCCATTTCACATGCCAAAAAGAAATACCTTCTCCATTCCCGAGTTTAAAAGTCACTCATTGAGCCATGTCTTCATTCTCTATAGACCCAACAACCTTCAAAAGATCTCTCTACCACAAAGAGTCCCCATTTTTCACCTGTTGGACCTCCTTTCCCCCACAACCTTTTACATGTCAAGCCATATCTAAACTAAATAATCCCTGCCCAGATTGCATCTTTCTCCGTTAAGACTCGCCAAACCCATTTACTCAATAGAGCATTATTAAAAGTTGTGATATCCTTAATGCCCAAACCTCGAGCTTCTTTCGACCTACAAACAGATTCCTAACTAATCCAACAAAAACATTTTTCTCCTCCTTACCAAACCACATAAAATTTCATTGCAGCCTCCAAATTTCATTAATCACTTCCACCAATACTTTAAAAAAAGTCAAGTTAAAAACTGGCAGGTTGGATAACACAGAGTTTATTAGAATAATTCTACCTCCAGTGGACAATAGTCTTCCCTTCCAATATGTCAACTTGGACATTACAGTGCCAATCACCGGTTTCCAGAACTTCACACCTCTATGGTTGCCTCCCGCAGTTAACCCCAAGAAAGTAAAAGGAATCTTATCAACTTTGCACAACGTAAAAGATGTTGTTGCCTGCAAGAATTACTCAAAAATTCTGCATCCGTATTACTTACTCTTCCTCGTATTAATTCTTAACCCCGATAACATTTCAAAGGCTCTCAATATTGCTTTTAACGCCCAAATATTATCCCAAGTATTGGTACCAACAAAGATTGTATCATCCGCGAATTGGAATAAACTATATCCCACATGCTCACTACAACAAAATTCCTTGTACAATCCCACAATTATTGCCTCTCTTACCAAACCTGCAAGGCCTTCGATCCCAAAATCCCACAACAATTGTAAATAGTAAAGGAGACAACAGATCTCCTTCTCTCAAGCCTTTACTAACAGAAAATTCCGATGTTGGGCTTCCATTAACTAGAATTGACATTGAGCTTGAGAATACCCCCACTTCCAATCAATGCAACCATTTTGAACCAAATCCCATTTTTTTCATAATGAACTTTAGAAACTTCCAATCCACACAATCATACGCTTTTTTTTTCTTTTTGGAAAAATCCAGAATCATTTGTTGCCAAAACACCATCGAGAATTTTCCTGCCTGGAATGAAAGTTGTTTGAGTCTTTGACACTAACTTACCAACCACCATACTTAACCGCTTCGCAAGTATTTTTGAAATCACCTTATATAAACATCTGATTAGATAAATAGGTCTATAATCTTCTAATGCCTTTGAATTATCACTTGTAGGTATCAGAGCTAAGAAGGAAATTGTCAAAGCTTTGGGAAATTTACCAAATCTATGGAACTCCTGAATAAAACTCACCACATCCACCTCCCAACATCTTCTAAGAAACTCCAGATTGAAACCATCTGGACATGGACTCCTATATCCTCCACAATCAAACACCACCTCTTCTAATTCAGTGAAGAGATAAATTTGTTCAAATTACATGTTATTTTTACATAATTATTTCTTAAATTTAGGTATGACAATAAAAATCTAAAAGCGTCCACACCCATCAAAAATTGTTCCGACTTTGGCGAGAAAATCTCATTTTGAGAAGGGATGGAGACGAATTTTCTGCGATATTAAAACTCGAGTTAGGATAAGAAATTGCGAGTGTTTTTTTATAAACACATTTCTTTATTTATTTAATATCTAATTATATATTAGAAGTTTTACTTTTATTTTGATACAAAAAATTATTTAATACTTTCTCTATCTTAAAATGTAAAGGAAAAAAAATGCATTTTTCTTGTTTTAAAATATAAAAGAAAAAATCAATTTTGATCTCTTTTTAGATAAAATTAAATATAAATTGTGTTTAATTTAACTTTTCTCTCATCATTTTTATAACTAATAATCTATTAGAAATGTTTTTACATCTTTTAAACACTTTATTTTAGAAAAATCATAAAATCAAATGATTATATTTTTACTTTTTTTTTAATAAATGAGATTTTTTTCCTCTTATATTTTGAGACAGAGATAATATTATTTTCTTTTTATTATATTAATTATAATAAATACAGTATTTAAAATTTATTATTTTATAATATGAATGAGATGTAGGCGAGGCGGAGAAAATTGACATTCGTCAAGGATGGAGATTGACATTTCAATCCAACGAAAAATGAATGTAGAGCGCAAAAAACCAACTATTATCAGACACAAGAATAAGAGAAAAACACGCAATTAAAAATAATTACGTCAAAATTTGAAAATATCCTTATAAAAAGATACTACAATTTTTATTCATAAGTAGAGACAAAGAAAGTATCATAATTAATCAAGTAATTTAATTCTACTAATAGTTAATAAAATTTAATTTAAAAAAATTACTAAAAAATTGAGTTGAATTAGTAATTAAAACGAATATTGACCAAACTTTATTTGTTTTTGGATAGACTTTGAAACTAATTACTTTCTCTAAGAACAGGAGAGATAGTAATATAATTTGTTTAAGAAAAAAATTAATATATATTTCAAGTTAATAAGTTATTTGTATAGATATTTTTTTAGAATGTTTGTATTTAATATTTTAAAATTTTAAATATGATTTTATTATATTTAATTATGTTTAAATTTTTTAAATTATAATATTTTCAATATATCTTCTTAGAGCACATGTAAGCATCCCTATTTATTTAATGCATGTCATTCCTATTTAGAAACTTGATACGCGTCATCTTCCTTCAACAGCTTCTATTGTACACACAAACTACTAGACTTTAGCCTCCAAATGTGCCATATTCATTTGTCTAATCCTTAACCTCCTCACACATGTTTGGTTCCTAAACTGGCTAAACATCTCACACATCATTATCCAAAACATAAAAAAACTTTGTATTCTAATGTTAATTAAAAAAATTAATTATTTTATAAAATCTTCAAAAATATATTAATTCATATGTTTTAGTTATATTATATACTTTAGTTAGACGTATAAAATACATATACATGGTTATTATAGTAATTTCAACATAAATGGTGTGGATAACATTGTACGATATGTTAATACTATTTTTTGTTCTTTGCCTCTCACTTCTCTGCCTATAAATACCATTGATCATCTCCAATAAAATCACATCAAAATTAAAAAGAAAACAAACCAAGAAACACAAACAAATAGAAAATGGCAGGAATCATAAACAAGATTGGTGATGCTCTTCATATAGGAGGAGACAAGAAAGAAGGAGAACACCACAAAGGAGAGGGTCATCATGTGGAACAACACAAAGGAGAACATGGACATGGTGCTGAGTACAAAGGAGAACAACATGCTTTTGGTCATGGAGAGCACAAACCAGATCAATACCAAGGGGGAGAGCACAAGGAAGGAATTGTTGACAAGATCAAGGATAAGCTCCACCATGGTGAGGGTGGAGCAGGTGAAAAGAAAAAGAAGGAGAGAAAGAAACGTGAAGATGGTCATGAACATGGCCATGATAGCAGCAGCAGTGATAGTGATTAGATCTTAACTACTCATCTTGAGGTATTTAATTAAAATTTTGTTTTGCTTTATGATCCTTTTATCAATGTTTTACATGATTATGATATTAGAGATTAATTCAACTTTATTCTTGGAACATAGATGAACAATAATATAATAATAATAATTGCATTTTGTTATAGTTGTTCCTATATTTTATTTCTAACTTTCTTTTTCTTCTATCTATTATTGCAGGTGTATGGAACCATATGTGACGACTATGTCCTATGTTTTGATTTCTTGTTATAATTATATCTATGTATGTGAGTGAGATTGTAGTTGCTAATTCGAGTTGTTGTAAAAATAATCGCGGTTAGATTGGTTTGTGAAACCCATACTGCTTTGTTAATGTTTGGTTGTATATTATCCTCAAAAAAGTTATAAGAATTTCTATTATTATAGTAACAATTATTTGGTGTCAATCAAACTTAGATTTTCACCTCATTCAACTCCCGTTCATGTCATACTACTCTTTTGATTTAAAATTGTCAATCTAACTAAAAGACAACAACTAAAATTGTCAATCAAGACAACCACTAAATTTGTTGTAACGATTAAGATTTTCGAGAAGAGAGAAAAGAGAAAGAAACTGAATTTGTAAAATAAGATTTATATCAAGTGTAGTTGTTATTCTTTACATCATACACAACCTTTATATAAGTAAACAAAATCACATCCTTTATATTGACAACTAAAGTTAAAGATCCAAAACATATAAAATACAAAATCTAAAGCTATTATGTACAAACTTCGACATAACAATTGTGCATCGTATACCACTATATTGAATATAGCCAACTCTATTTAACTTTGTTTTACTAGATCTAACACACCATAGTTGAACCCATATTTGAAGCACTGAATTATTAGTTTCTAATATACCCCCTAATTCATGCTTTCAAGGTTTCTCAGTCTGATGCTTTTCTTCAACTCATTAAACCTGATTTTCTTAAGAGGTTTATGAGTATATCAGCTAGTTGCACTTTTGTCTTGTAATGCTCAAGGCCAAACTTCCTTTTATTCACTTGATCCCTCAGAAAATGATATCTTCTCTCTATATGTTTACTTCGATCATGACGCATAGGATGATTGACTAGATCGATAGCTGATTTGTTATCGACAAACAATTTCATTTTTCCTGATTCCATGATCTTGAGCTCTTCGAGCATCATCTCTATTTAGACTTCTTGACATACTGCATACAATGCAACCATGTACTCAGTTTCACATAATGACAAAGCTACAATGCTTTACTTCCTTGAGCTCCAAGAGATTGGAGTGCAATCGATCATGAATATATATCATGCAATATTTTTCTTCTCATCTTGATCTCCATTGAAATCTGAACCAGTGTAGCCATATACCATTACATATGTGTTATTCTTCTTATGTCTTGATCTCAGTACACCATGATCAATTGTACCCTTTATGAATCTCAACACTCTCTTAACTACAATGAGATGGAATTCTTGGGGTTTCTCTGTAAACCTGCTCAACAGTCCAACACTTTGGAAAATTCCTGGCCTGATATTGCAAAGATACCTCAAAGATCCAATAATTTGTTTTACAATGTTGCACTTACAAACTTGTCATTTGTTTCCTTCTTTAACTTTGCTCAGTTTCTAATGGCGTGTGTGATACGGTGGGAGAACTGACTTGATGTTTTGCGTTTCGATCGCATTTGTGCGGATAGCAAGAGTCGCCATCGACTTTTCTTTTATCCAAAAGAAAAGGTAAAAAAGTACAGGAAAGACCTTTCGAGATTTTCTCGGGTTCGGGGGGTAGATTATAAAAAGGGAAGGTATTAGCACCCTTTTCATCCATGGTTTTCCATGGGCTCTTAGTTACTCGTTTAGATCACTTGCTTTCATTTGATAGTGTGCTTGTGGTGTGGGCTTTGAAAGTATTTTGAAAAATCTCTTTGTAATGGTTCTCGTCTCTATAAGAACGCGTACAAAGTTTTGTTTCGAAAAGTGGTTCAAAGATGTGTTTGTGAATCGTGTTTCGGAAAGTGTTTTGAAAAGAGGTTTTGCAATGGTTCTCGTCTCTATAAGAACGTATACAAAACGTTTTGTCTTTTTGAAAATGTTTTTGAAATGAAAGTGTAGGTGTGAAAAGTTTTTATCGTGAGCAAGCGAGTAACTAAGAGTGAATCTATCTACTCGAAAGGTCTTAAATTGTTCTTTTCTTCCTCCTTTTAATGGTGCTATCTTACCATTGATTTGGTAAGAAGCACCACCGTTGGATGTGAAGGGACAGGCGCATGTCAATTTTACAATCATTTAAAGCAACTTGTGAGACGCTTTAGCAATTTTTGTAAGGGACGATATCGTTTTAATCAAAGGTAACATCGAGGGACTACGATCTTTTTATCGAAGGGTCATTGCTAAAGTGTCTCATATTCGAGGGACATGATTGTATTTCCGAGGCAACGAGCGAGGTTACCCTAGAGGTGCGCGTGTGAAAAAGTGTATTGGTTTCAAGTTATTTTATTCTTTGATTAGGTCATCTAGCGATTGAGTTTTGAATCTTGCCATACACGCCTAGTTACTATACAGTATATGGAAAACAGTAAATTGCGGGAATTGAAATTCTACGCTATTACAAAATATTTGGGAATGGGGGTACAATTTTTACAAATGGGGATAAATCAAATGCGATAGAAATGTCCGAATAACAAGCAATACAACTAAATCGAATTTTGTGCGATTCAATTAAAGCTATGATAATCCATGAAAATAAAACCAACAAAATATGGAAATGAAATGTTAAGTATTTACTTGAAAAGAGAAAAGTAAAACCTATTCTAGAAAATAAAATAATTGATTATATTATATTCTTTATTTTTTTTCTATTTTATTAATTATGTAAGTAACAAGATAAATTAAAGAGGGACTAAACTAAGTTCTATTATTATTATTATTTGGTGTTTTTATTATATGTAAAATTAAATCTAAAACAAATTTATTAAAAAAAGAAAATGATAAAAAATTAAATTACAAAACCTAAATCAAATTAAAATGTATTTTACGTTATTAGCATTTGCATAATAAAAAAAGAATGTAAAAAGAAAACAAATTAAATTTAAAAAACGTAGTGGGCCTAAGGTGATTTGAGAATGAGGCCCAAACAAAATGTTGTTCTTGCTGTAACCAAACAAGCCAAAAGGGGGGGGGGGGGGGGGGGGAATGATCAGTAAAACGTAAATGGGCTTAGGGAGATTACAAAAACAACAAGCCCAAGTTTTTAACCACGCTTAGTTACTAATTAAGGTGAGAAAACGAAATTAGGGTTCTTGGAACCCTTTGTCACTCACAGCGCCGCTCTTCATCTTCTTCGCTCACCTCTGTTCATCTTTTTGTTGAAACCTCAGAACAATCTCACTACCCGTCCCTACTCCCTTTTGCGAACGAAATCACTCTCTCCATTAACATGCTACTTCCTTATCTCACCGTGATTTGCATCTATGAAACCCTAATTGTCGAATTCGGACCTAAACCTAAGAGAAACGAAATTGATTCGTCCTTGACCTTCCCCTCACTCTCTGTTGCCGGAACACTGAATCTCTCGCCTCCCTAATCGAGTTTCTAAAGATTTTCTTGAAAAGGTGATATTTTGTTATTATTAAAGCTTACAAATTCAATGATTATTTCTATCTTGTCATGTTTTTTTCTGTTAATCAAGCCTTACCCTCTTAGATGCAGAAAACGCGCTTATGGAAAATGATAAAGGAGAGAAATTCATACTTGTTGGATATTCTTTCTGTGAAATAGAAAAGGGAAGGAAGAGATTGAGGATTGCGTTCCTTTGGTAGCAGAAGTTGCGCGAGGGGAAGAGATGAGGGCGTGGCTTTTCTGACTCGTTGGTAACTACTTCTATTTTTCTCTGTTGAATGATGATGATGTTGGTTATCTTTGTTGGCTACTGTGTTTGGAATTTTTGGTTCAGGTTTGTTGATGTTTTCTGTTTTTTTTCGAGTTTGTGAAGCTTAATGATGGTTTTGATTTGATGATGGTTGTTGCTGGTTTTTGTTCACAGTTTGATAAGTTTTCTTGGTGATGGTTGACAGATTTTTAGGTTTTTTGGCTTGGTTACGGTGTTGAGATTTTTGGTTTTGGATGTTTGACAGGTTTTGGTTACAATGTTGAGATTTTTGGTTTTGGATGTTTGACAGGTTTTGGTTACAGTGTTGAGATTTGTTGCTTGAGGCTTGTGTTTTGTTGGAGTTCTTAGGTTTGACAGGTTTTTTGATGATGTTGTTGGTTAACAGGTTTCAGGTTTGATGGTGGTTCTGGTTTTTTGAGTTTGTGAAACTGGGCACAGGTTTGGTTTGATGATGGTTTACTGGTGTCTCAGTTTGAGACTTGTGTTTTTTGGAGTTTTGAGGTTTGACAGGTTTTGTTATGATGAGGGTTACTAGTTTGAATGGTTAACAGTTTTGTTGTTTGATGATGGTTCAGCAGGTTTTTTGAACTTGTGCAGTTTGTTGACTATATTTTCAGTTTTAGACTTGTGTGTTTTTTCTTTCTATTGCCTCCTCTTGTTATATTGCTCCTGCTTCTGTTATATCCCTATTCCAATGGTGGGAAACCAAAGAATTTGAATATTTTAGTATATTGTCCTTATGGCCTTTTTGTTGCAGTTTTGTTTTTTAGCAAATTCTATGCAACTTGTGGCAGGCAGGGCAGCAAGGTTGTGCATTCCAATAACCTAGGTGACTTCTTTCCTCTCTTCTCTCTCAATGACAATAAAAAAGCAAATTGCTTTTTTGCTCTTTTTCTAATTCTGAAAGGTTTGCATGGAAAATGATGACTTTATTGCTTCTTGAACAAGTTTTTGTTTGACTTAGCATCTTAGCTATTTGCTTATTGCTGCATTGCTGCCTGCTTTAGCTTTTGTTGATGCTGTTGTTATTTGTCCAGTTGTGATAATGCTGTTGTTTGGGTTTGTGAGGCTGCTGTTTGGTTTGTGAGGCTGCTGTT